TTGTTGTGTTGTTGTTGTTGTTGTTGTTGTTGTTGTTGTTGTTGTTGTTGTTGTTGTTGTTGTTGTTGTTGTTGTTGTTGTTGTTGTTGTTGTTGTTGTTGTTGTTGTTGTTGTTGTTGTTGTTGTTGTTGTTGTTGGTAATTCCCAGGCCCAGTGCATGAAATCCCATTTTCAACCCTAAAACAGGCGAATCTCAATTCTCACACTTCTCTGCAGGACCTTTATTCCTGTCATTCGCGATATTTTCAGATCAGTGGGATATCCGCCTATGAACTGTAACCTAATGTGAATAGCCCAGTGTAATTATTACCCACGCACCGCACTGCACGCGTGCGTCCGGGATTATTCTAGTTAATAATAAATGCACAGTTATTCTAGTTAATAATAAATGCACGAGTTAATAATAAATGCACAATTTTAAGTAATCGGGTCAGCACTACATAATGAAATAAACAAGTCCAAATATCATTGAAATGATTATTTTTCATTTCAACATGGAATACTGTAAATCATAAAAGCCAATTTATACTTTTACAAGCATGATCAAGTTTCGCCACACGCGCTCTCGAGGACATGAATATTGTTTATACCTAACGCAATATCATGATATCGCTACACGGATTCCTCCCAATGCAATCTTTCAAATTCGCTACCTGCTTGCATCATGATATGAGCAAAAAGTTAAGATTTCAAGTTCCAAATTTCAAGTTCCAGATTTACAGAACATGAACACAACATCAACCTTTCTTCGTTGCAATACGAAAACTTGCAAAATGTAGATCGAGTGTGCTGCCTCACAAATTGCGGTAGCTGGGTGGCCGGATAATAAGTTGATCTCACTCTCTGGTCGGATATGATATCCGGTGCATCCCTAAAGCCACACACAAACACAATGGCCTTTAAAGTCACAGCTAATGAACTAGTATCGGGTATAGGCCTTTGGAACTTGTAACGCTATCTTCTAATGCCAATATATTTTAATAGCCCAATGATAGTCCAATGGCATAACTAAAACATTTTTGATCAAAATTGGATTTCTTCCAATTGACCATTAATGTAAAAGTTCTCTCTAGGATGTTTGATAATTATGGTGATAAGAGTTCTAGACGTGCGAAGAAGTCTAATTCCTCATTCTACACACCTTTATAATTTTGTTCCGGCTTTGAATGAAATTAGCACAATATATGGCATCAAACTTCGCTAAGCTACCTTAGGAATTTAAAAATAATTTACACAACTACAAACTTCATGTAATCCTCTGAAGAGGTGAAGATTACACAACAACGCACAAATAACGTCATCTAAACCACTGTTCTTCTACGAAAACAATATCCAGATATATAGCATTACCAACAAGTGTCCACAACTCGTGTTTGCTTGCATCTATCACACTTTATCTTACAGCAAGGCCATTCAAAACGACAATTGCATTTCACAATTTCAACCGACACAGATGTCTTGTAAGGTCGTCCACAGCATATCGCAGTACAATCATCATGACCATTCGATGTGCGATTACATGCGCGACCAACCGTACCAACAATGCCCACGGAATAATTTGGCTCACAGAAATTTTCAGATTTCTTAAAATAAACGAGTTTACCTTGCAGTTGTTTTGTACTGGGTACCCAGGTAGGGGCTATAAAGCAATTGCAATAATATAATTGCATAACATGTCGGTGATATTTACGCAAAATCTTGGGCAAATTTACAATTAATTTTTTGCAAAAATTTTTTTTGGCGAGGAACACGAGCGCTTGGCCGATCACAGAGTTATTATTATTGACAAAAGAAATATGAATGATCCTACGCAAAGAGAGGCATTTTGGGCATATAATTTGGACAGGTTTGCATCTAAGGGATTAAATGTAAGGGATTTTGGGTAATTTATGTTAATGAATTGAATAGGATATAAAAGCATCTAACTCTGTTATTTATCCTTGATAAAGGGGCATGACCCGAAACGTGGGATAAGAATAAAGTCTTAAAAAAGTTCGTTTTGTGATTTATCTCTGTCTATATATATATATATATATATATATATATATATATATATATATATATATATATATATATATATATATATATATATATATATGTATATATTTATATATATTTATATATATAATTTATTATACTGAATTTTTAACACTCTTCTTGTTCAGTCGCTATTCTTGTAAATGAATACAGACTGGTGATTCAATTCAAGAAAGTTTGGAAAGTGCGAAATAATAATAATATTCCAATGGTCGGGTCCCGACCATTGGAATGTAGGCCTGCGCAGAACATGTGCGCAGAACATATGCGCAGGACGGACTTTAGAGTATCTTCAAGTGCAAATTCTCACTAACACTCTATTCCAATTACCTGAAGAAACTGTAAATTTGGCTATTTCAATTTTACTTCCGAACTATTGTCGACACAAAGTTTGAAATATTGATATAATTTTATTTTTACACTTATGTTGCCATCCGCTGACCTGTTCTATCAAGCTTCGGCTCCAGGTTAGTAACTCCTAGGGGGGGTGCATACTTTTTGTTTGGCAGTCTTAACGACACGCTCGTCGTAGAAAAAGATGTAATTCAGCAAAAATTACTGAGATTGATGAAAATATTACTGAAAAATTGCACAAGTTTCGGTAAGTTAGTGAAAAATGGTATTTCGTCCCCTCTACACCCCCGCCCATTGGGATTATAAATAACACGTTATTTATAATTTCTATGCCCCCGCCTACGTTACGCTCCTGGATCCGAATCTTTATACAACAGATCAGCGGATACCAACATGAGTGTATATTAAACGACTTGAAATTATATCACTTTTGAAGGTTGAATTTGTGTCGACAATAGTTCGCAAGTAAAGACATTTGGGAAAAGAAATATTAATGATCTCCCTCTAGCACGACTTTCGCCACGCCCTTTTGGTTGGGCAAAACAAGCTCTCCCTCCCCGCCCTCCGCCCAGCCGTAAAATAAATTACGGCCCTGTAATACGACCCCGCTGGGGGCGTGTGATCTACAGCGTGCAATATTCTTTTTTTTCCTAGACAAAATTCTGATTTTCAATTGGCAGTAAAATATTATTGAAATATAGTTTTTTTATTAGTTTATTATTACTTTATTATAAGTATTGTTTGCATATGGGAGTTTATTAGATAAAAATATTCATAAAATCTCTATTTTGTACTTCTGTTTTCATACGAAATTTATAGAGAGCTTCCAAATTTATTTCCACCTCACTACCTCTCACAGTCTTAATACTCATTTCATTGGCGTATCGTGTGGAAGACGGTTAATGCATCTGAATGATTAATGATAACGGTAGTGTAAGTCAAAATCTGAACCTCCCTCTCTAACTGTATAACATGGAAAATATATACAAGCCACCACTCACATTACATTAAAAATTCGGGAAAATGTTTAACGATGGGATTGTGCAATATCACTGCAGTGATCGTATTTACAATGATTATAATGATCATCTTTTCAGTAATACATGATGATAGTTTGACGTCCATCAAGCACTTGGTTGCTCTGATACTTAAAGGCTTAATGATTGTGGCACTAAAAACCGGATTCGAAGGTTGTGCGTTCCATCAGGGCTTAATGAAATTACTTAGTCCTGTTTTATACGTCGAATTTCGGTCGTGTCGAATGCAATTCAAACAATAGTTAATAAAGCGTAATGAGGTTTATATTCTCATTATCGATTGTCGTAATTGCATTCGACGCGACCAAAATTCGAAGTATTAAGCGGGCCTTAGGCCTGTTTCCAACGTCGCGCTTCTCATGTGCTAAACGCATTAAAAACCTCAGATAATCAGCTGATCGAAATGCCTCATAATCTATTGTTTCTAATGCGTTCGGCACATGAGAAGTGCGATGTTTGAAACAGGCCTTAGTCTCGGCAAGAAAAATTCATAACTTAAAAATATTATGCAAGTCGGACTCAATGTATCGGACAGTACTCTTCTCGGAGACAACGAACCAAATAGGTAATCGGTGTGACCCCATACAAGGTAACTTTAACAATTTATTTAATGAGTTAGAGTCTTCTTCGAAAGGCTTACGATTAGCGTGCTTGAACATTAACAGCCTGTTGAAAAACATTGATCAGCTTCGCTTGATCATGCAAAACATGCCAGTTGATATTCTTGCTATAAACGAGACAAAATTAAACCATTTGGTGCCTGACAGTGAAATAGCAATCGCTGGTTACTTTCACATTCGCCATGACCGATCTAGATCTGGTGGGGGAGTACTACTGTATGTTCGTGACTCTATACCGTTTTCTGAACGAAATGACTTAGTATCTGATTCACTAGAAATGATATGCATTGAAATTAGTAAACCTCACAATAAGTCATTTTTAGTAAGCACTTGGTATAGAGCTCCTAACTCGCAATCTGCTCTTTTTGATGAATATGAGGCTTTTTTAAGAAATAGCGATATAGAAAATAGAGAGGTAATAATTATGGGTGATTTGAACTGTGATATCTTGAAATCTCCTTGTGAGTCTCATACTCGCAAGCTACAGTTCCTTTCATCACTTTATCAGTTCGATCAGCTTATTGATGAACCCACAAGGATTACTGGAACATCAGCAACTCTAATTGATCTAATTCTGACAAATAAAGAGGAAAATATTTCAAAGTCTGGTGTCATACACCTTGGACTTTCTGATCACAGTATGATTTTCGCTATTAGAAAACATTGTATTCCCAAATCACGGGAAAAGGTTAAACATATTCGTAACTTTAAAAATTTCAATGCCAATGATTTTCTTACGGATCTTTCACAGATGCCGTGGGAGAACATTGCCCAACATGACAATTCTAATGTATGCTGGCAGGTATGGAAATCACTATACCTCCAGGTCCTTGATCGACACGCTCCCCTTAGACGTATGAGAACTCGTGGAAATTCTCTCCCTTGGATTTCTTCAGACATCAAGGGTATAATGAGATCAAGAGACTTCCACAAAATAAAAGCGGTTAGATACAATTCTCAAAGTCATTGGACAAAATATAAGGAATTATGAAACAAAGTTAATGCTGAACTAATTAAAGCTAAAAGAAACTATTTCTGCAATAAAATAGAAGATTGTGCTCAGTCCAAAGACATAAAGCAAAGTTGGAATTTAATTAACCACCTCATGGGTAAAAATGTGAAATCAAACACGATATACCAACTTAAAACGGATAATTCTGTCATTTCAGACGATAAATTGAAATCTGAGGCTTTTAATGATTTCTTTGTCAATATCGGGGCAAAACTTGCAGCTGAAATTGAAGATAATTCCCTCAACACAAATTCTTTTGCTCGCGGAGATTCTAGGCCTACTACCGACTCCAATTTTTTTTTCAAATTTTCTGAAATTAACGAGGACGAAGTAATATATCAATTGCGTAGTCTCAAAATTTCAAAATCCACAGGATTAGATAACATCCCTGCTAAAGCCCTTAAAATATCCGCGGACATTGTTGGTCCGCCATTAACTTGGATATTTAACCTTTCGATCAAAAAAGGAGAATATGTGGATGAATGGAAAAAAGCCTGGGTTACACCCATTTATAAATCTGATGACAGGTTGAAATGCGAGAATTATCGCCCTATCTCGATACTACCCATTGTTAGTAAAATACTTGAGAGATGCGTTTTTAATCAAATTTATAAATTTCTTAATGACAATTCACTTCTTTCAAAACATCAACATGGTTTTCGGCCTAAACATTCAACTCTCACCGCTCTAACTCAGGTGTGCGATACTCTTTATGAAAATATGGATAATGGTCAATTGAGCGGCATTGTCCACACTTTTTCCACACTCTATTGTCAAATTTTCCACACTCTATTGTGACATAAAAGTATTTCGTTATACTAAAACAAAACTCAAAAGAAAATATTATCGAAATAAAGGACGATGTTGCATTTCTATAACATTCTTTATTGTTATAGTCTAGCTATGATAAAATAGTGCACGAAAATCAGTTGTGGTCGCGGCGGGTTAATTATTCCCAACTATACAAAGTATAGGCTATTTAAAGAGAATTGTATCGTATAACGTGTTCGGAATGATTTTTTAAAAAATGCTTCTGACTCGATTGCTATAATATTTACTAAAATTCATTCGGAAAGGCGTTTTTGAATATTAATTCTCTCCGCCGTCTCTATTGCACAACATAAGTAACAAGTTTCCATATAATAGTAGTTGACTTTGATTCAGAAATACTTGTCGGAAATTTGTTCCGAAACTAGGGAGACATGACATTATGGTGAATCTGAATAGAGTGTTAATTTGAACACTGTGCCATCGTAAGAAGAAAGGTTAAAGATAAATCGTAGGAATGGTGACTTGGAGTATGCGCCTTCCGAATTTCATGATGCGATCGTTTATATCGCATCATGAAATTCGCTTGGTATGGCATCGTTCAAATCCTGTTCGAGTTAAATTTTTCCCTTCCCGTTCACATACGCCAAACTTTAAACGAATTCCAAACCTAATTGAAGCTGCCTATTCACCGTTGTAATCAAAAGGGTTTTGTGAAAACGAGTAAAGTACGCGCACAGCTAGCGGTACAAATTAATGAATCACGTGAACAGAGGGAACGGTCGAATTTTATTGTCGTGCCGTCAATTTGTCTCCTACTTTAATCAGCTTACATTAAAACTGAAAGATTATTAGTATCAGTTCATGTTAAGTAATAGTATACTAAGCAAATTTGCCGTAAAAGTGGAACAATCGTGCATATATGCATGGGGAAATGCAGAAGTATTCCCTCAGGAACCTCAGATAAGCATTTTCCTCATGTGCTAAAGGATTCAATTTGCACGCTCTGAGTTGTTTAACTGTTCAAACCTGATGTCAAACATAGTTACATAGTTTTGCAATGTTTTAATTAATCACTTGCATGACTGGGACAGTTGTGCATGAGGTACCTATGCATCACATTGTCAGTATGTGGTCGAGAAGGAAAATCGGTAGTTCAAAAGCAGGGCCTTCATAATTAACGTCTTCAACTACGGCAGATAATTTAAGCAGATGCGAGAACACGCACTATCGAATTAATTTTCTTTAAACATAGTAAGGCCTGTTTTATACGTCGAGTTTTTGTCGCGTCGAATGCAATTAAGACAATAGATAATGAGATGATAAACCTCATTAAGCTTCATTATCTAATGTTTGAATTGCATTCGACGCGACCAAAATTGGATGTATAAAACAGGCCTAAGTACCGTTGTATTGACTCACTGCTTGTTAATTATTCATGCATATATACTCATCGGCTACTTGAATAGTATACACTACTTTTAAGTTTTCAAAACACTAAAGTGTTTTACAGAATATATTATTTCAATTTTTGTAAGCATAGCTTGGGGGGGGGGGCACCACCCATTTTTCCGAGCGCTTCAGATTCCAAAATGATTTGATGCGATATTGTTAAATTTCACACGAAAGACGACTACGTCCAAATTAAAAAGTTCAGGATAGCTTTCGACTATCTAAATACGTATCTGGGCAATGACGAAGATGTCGTGCGCCATCTTTTCTTCCTTTCTTTCCTTCCTTCCTTCCTTCCTTCCTTCTTTCCTTTCTTTCTTTCTTTATTTCTTTCTTTAATTTCTTTCTTTCTCCCAAACAGGGCACGGGCAGTGTGCATGTGCAAATCGATTTACATCCCATAATCAAAGAATTAAGCAAACGTTTTAGCTTAAATTCGTTGATTGCAAGTACAGTATGTGTGTCCGTTTTTTAGTGTAAACAGAAATCATGGTATTGCAAACCACCTCCCTCGGCTTTCGGGGACATTTAATCACTAATTTCCCTCATATCATGGTGCTACTTATGATAAATATATGAAAAATACTCGTACTTTGGGATCTTTATTGCATCATTTTTAATCCGAAAAGAAAGCCTGAACCTTACTGATAAACAATATCCGGTATCAGGGCGACCGGATGCCGGATAATAGGTTGATCTTTCTATCTGGCCGGATACGATATCCGCTGCATCCGTAACTGCCACACACAAACACAATGGCCGTTAAACTCACATCCGATGAACTGGTATCGGACATGGACCTCTGGAAATTCTAATGCTGTCTTCAAATGGCATTGTATCGTGATTTGAAAAAAGAATTGATGATAGTCCAATGGCATAACTAAATTTTTTGGCTAAAACTGGATTTCTTCCAATTAGCAATAATGAAAATGTTCCCTTTAGAATATTTGAAGAAGACAGAATTATATATTAGAAATCTAATTCCCTGGATTTTCCACACTTTTATAACTTCGCTTTGAAAAAAATTAGAAAAGCAAAATGACACCAAACTCCGAGAAGCCACCTTAAGTATTTACAAATATGCTGTGTGATGTTACTCTGAGTGTATATCCATTATCCACACCGGGCAGGCTTGAAAAATATGCCTGGCCACGGTGGGATTCGAACCTACGGCCTTTGGAATACCAGGTCGTAGGTTCGAATCCCAACGTGGCATCTTATTCACCTAGTAATATTAAGTATTTAAGTAATATTTTTTTATTGATTGGTTGAGATAGTTGTAGTTAGGTTTTTTGAATTTGTATTTTGTATTGTTATAGTTGGTGCGATAATCGTCCGATTTTTACAGACTTAATAAAATGTAGATGTAGATGAGTACATTGCACCAACACAGCAAATATCATATTTACAAATAATCTACACGACTGGAAACTTCATGTAATCCTCTGGGGAGAGAGAGGCATCAGTCGGAAAAGACATCAAATAATATTATCTACATTCATCAAAACTCATTTGGTGTTCAATTTAATTTGGCTCCTGCTTTAATGAGCATGCATTAAAACTAAAAGTTTGTTAGTATCAGTTGATGTATGTTAAGTAAAGTAAGTAAATTTGCCGTAAAAGTCGAACAGTCGTGTATGAGAAAAATTCAGAAGCACGCCCTCAGATAATGCATTTTGCTTATGCGTTATAAATGATTCAATTATAATTCAAAGTGTAGTTATTAAGTTAAGGACTGAGTAGTTTAACAGTTTATTCCTCATGTTCGTCAAACAAAGTTTGCCATAATATTTAAACTAAACATTTGCATTACTGGAACAGTTGTAAGGGACGTATTCAGCAGTATATATGTTAGAGAAGGAAATTATTTGCAGAAAGTAGAAAAGTCGCGTAGTTCAAAGACAAAGGCAGGGCCTTCAAAATTAACAACTTCACTTACGGCAGTATTTTAAACCCAACAGAAATATGAGCAGAAACGGATGCATTTGATACGAGGTAAAAAGAAACTTACCAAAATCTAACTTTACTTCCTTGATTTTCTTCAAACATTCGCAATCAGCACTCAACAGATGTGAGAACAATCGAATTTTCATTAACTATAATAAGTACCGTTGTATTGACTCACTGCTTCTTAATTATTCATGTATACATGTCGGCTACTTCAATAGTACACTAATTTTAAGTAGTACACTGTACTAAAACAGAATATATTATTTCAATTATTATAAGTATGGCCATGCAACCTCGTACCAAGGGCATTTTGCTTCCGGTCAGCGGTCATGACCTCAAAATCTCCAGTATTTGGGGTGTTCAATTATGATAATTTATGCGTATAAATACGTATATAGAATAATTATATACATGCATTGTAATTACTGACAGGAGTAAACAAACTCAATGCTGCGTATATAATCAAAGAGATAGCGACAAAATAAGTTGACTTTATGCTGTTTTCGTTGTTCATACCTCATTCAGCAGCATATGCAAACATAGCCCATAATATTGATGAGTTAAACATATTCGGAGCCTGGTTATCTTCTGATTCAATTCTTAATGAATAACTAAACAAAACCGCTTCAGCGTTTGGTTTATATAAATCGTTTTATGAGCAAATATGTATTCGTATCGCAATCTTTATTTGACTACAACGCTGTACGTTTCTTGAAATCAACGATGTGTAAACAACGCATGTGAGAAATGTATGTTGAACCGAAGCAAATACTCGTCTATACAAAATGTACAAAGACTTAGACTTATTTTGAACCAAATTGTTTTTTGAAGTATTGTCCTTCCCAAATTCAGGCTGTATCTCAAGCTAAATATCAAAAATCTTATTTACTCAATACCTTAGTCCTTCAAGAACTACCAAAATAATAATTGTTCCCAGATATATTGAATATTTACATTCAAAATCATAGACCAATCTGGTTGCAAAACTGACCAGCCGAAGCCAGCGCCTTTTTCGCCCTGGGTATCAGGTTGAAGTAAAAAAGCCCTGGATATACGAGGTTGAAGTATGGCGGAACAGGGCAACATTACTGATATTGTATAAAATTGCACACGAAAGAAGTGTATGTTAAAATTAAAAATTAAGATCAGCTTAATTAAGGTGGCTCGATACAGTTTTAAATAATTCAGGTGTTCAACACTTTGACATGTTCAAACTACGCATTTTTAGGATTTATTCAGCCGATATTGGGTTTTTTATATATTTTTATATCTCTACTTTCAAATTATATTCGTTTTAGTAACAGATAGTTCGTTGCTATGGTGAACCCCAATTTTTTTGTGCATTATTTTGCTTGGACGAAAAGCTAACAATTAGCAAAATATAAAAAAAATTCTGTAATGCCATTTATACGGAACATGCAAAAATGTCATATTCCTCGGTAAAATTTTTTGGCATTACAGAATTTGTATTTTTTGTATAATGAAAGTTTTTAGCGGTGCAATACAGCATGCAAAATTTGAACATAGGTCACCAGACAAAATAAAGAGATATATATAGCGCATTGTTTTTCTAAAATGGAAAATTTTAATGACGTCAGCAATTAACATAAAACGCTATAGAACACGCGCAATGGCGTGATGTGGCGCGAGCAACTGCTCACGTCAGGTCATTTTGGAATTTCTTTCATATTGTTAATCTGTTTGCTCGACCTGCGCGTAAAAATGGTCGCCCGGTTTTGAGTTCGCGATTCTTGAGCAGGGTTTTTGTAATAACTATATCGAGCCACCTTAAGACTACATATATGCGCACCCGGGCACTGTTGCAGATATCGTACACTGTCTTTTATTTCTTTCATCCTTTCTTTTTCCCAAACAGGGACGGACAGGCATGTACAAGCGTTAGGGCGGTTTAATGCTAAGCGGGAATAACCAGGCTTAACATCGGAAATTTGTTCATCTCGCAAGAAAGAACGGCTAAATATTGAAGGGCTTTTGTTGATGGAATTAAATTTCAATGTTAATAGTATGCACTTTAGACCAAACAAGAGACACTGCGAAATGTTGACCAAATCCCAACGTGTCAGGCCATGTCTTGCTCAAATCCCATCACCATTTTAAATTTTGTTGTTGTTGTTGTTGGTAATTCCCAGGCCCAGTGCATGAAATCCCATTTTCAACCCTAAAACAGGCGAATCTCAATTCTCACACTTCTCTTCAGGACCTTTATTCCTGTCATTCGCGATATATTCAGATCAGTGGGATATCCACCTATGAACTGTAACCTAATGTGAATAGCTCAGTGTAATTATTACCCACGCACCGCGCTGCACGCGTGAGTCCGGGATTATTTTAGTTAATAATAAATGCACAGTTATTCTAAATAATAATAAATGCAAGAGTTAATAATAAATGCACAATTTTAAGTAATCGGGTCAGCACTACATAATGAAATAAACAAGTCCAAATATCATTGAAATGATTATTTTTCATTTTAACATGGAATACTGTAAATCATAAAAGCCAATTTATACTTTTACAAGCATGATCAAGTTTCGCCACACGCGCTCTCGAGGACATGAATATTGTTTATACCTAACGCAATATCATGATATCGCTACACGGATTCCTCCCAATGCAATCTTTCAAATTCGCTACCTGCTTGCATCATGATATGAGCAAAAAGTTAAGATTTCAAGTTCCAAATTTCAAGTTCCAGATTTACAGAACATGAACACAACATCAACCTTTCTTCGTTGCAATACGAAAACTTGCAAAATGTAGATCGAGTGTGCTGCCTCACAAATTGCGGTAGCTGGGTGGCCGGATAATAAGTTGATCTCACTCTCTGGTCGGATATGATATCCGGTGCATCCCTAAAGCCACACACAAACACAATGGCCTTTAAAGTCACAGCTAATGAACTAGTATCGGGTATAGGCCTTTGGAACTTGTAACGCTATCTTCTAATGCCAATATATTTTAATAGCCCAATGATAGTCCAATGGCATAACTAAAACATTTTTGATCAAAATTGGATTTCTTCCAATTGACCATTAATGTAAAAGTTCTCTCTAGGATGTTTGATAATTATGGTGATAAGAGTTCTAGACGTGCGAAGAAGTCTAATTCCTCATTCTACACACCTTTATAATTTTGTTCCGGCTTTGAATGAAATTAGCACAATATATGGCATCAAACTTCGCTAAGCTACCTTAGGAATTTAAAAATAATTTACACAACTACAAACTTCATGTAATCCTCTGAAGAGGTGAAGATTACACAACAACGCACAAATAACGTCATCTAAACCACTGTTCTTCTACGAAAACAATATCCAGATATATAGCATTACCAACAAGTGTCCACAACTCGTGTTTGCTTGCATCTATCACACTTTATCTTACAGCAAGGCCATTCAAAACGACAATTGCATTTCACAATTTCAACCGACACAGATGTCTTGTAAGGTCGTCCACAGCATATCGCAGTACAATCATCATGACCATTCGATGTGCGATTACATGCGCGACCAACCGTACCAACAATGCCCACGGAATAATTTGGCTGACAGGAATTTTCAGATTTCTTAAAATAAACGAGTTTACCATGCAGTTGTTTTGTACTGGGTACCCAGGTAGGGGCTATAAAGCAATTGCAATAATATAATTGCATAACATGTCGGTGATATTTACGCAAAATCTTGGGCAAATTTACAATTAATTTTTTGCAAAAATTTTTTTTGGCGAGGAACACGAGCGCTTGGCCGATCACAGAGTTATTATTATTGACAAAAGAAATATGAATGATCCTACGCAAAGAGAGGCATTTTGGGCATATAATTTGGACAGGTTTGCATCTAAGGGATTAAATGTAAGGGATTTTGGGTAATTTATGTTAATGAATTGAATAGGATATAAAAGCATCTAACTCTGTTATTTATCCTTGATAAAGCGGCATGACCCGAAACGTGGGATAAGAATAAAGTCTTAAAAAAGTTCGTTTTGTGATTTATCTCTGTCTATATATATATATATATATATATATATATATATATATATATATATATATATATATATATATATATATATATATATATATATATATATATATATATATATATATATATATATATATATATATATATAGACAGAGATAAATCACAAAACGTCCCCCCCCCCCTTAGGTAATTCCCCCCTGATCTCAAAACAAAACGATTGCAAGTTGAAAATGGCGTTAAAGTGCGATTTTGTTCTTACATAAATAAGAAAAAAATTACCCAGATGTTTTATACTTCTTAGCAAAAGGTGGCAAACACTCATTAATCATTTATAAGCTTATTGGCGAATCATCTCAACCATAATATGTCGCGTGCAGTGGCTTTAAACCTGATAAAATACTCCTAATTAGTATTCTTTATATATAGAATACTAATAAGGCAGTACCTATTGTAGTCGTGTCCTCATCAGTATACTTTATATAAAGAATACTAATAAAGCAGTATATCTATTGAATTTGTAGTCTTGTTTGAAGCCGTTTAATAAACTCGCAGGTCGTGTTTTATTCGGTCTAAAGCCATTCGCTTTAAACCTAGTAAAACACTCCTGCTCGTTTATTAAACAGCACATAAGATCGTGTATTTAATTTTAAATTAGTTTACATATCGAAATTCGACCAATTCCATCATATGTTTAAAAGTATTGGAGGCGAAACCACGATTCATAATTAATTGTGTAAACGGTCTCTGGTTAAAAAGATTTATTTGTTACGGCAAGCTTTCAACTGCCAGTCTGCAGTCTTCGACGGGTAGATTAATAATGCGCTAGTGAATTAAGATATGATACGAAGTGAATAGTGCTATATAATAGCGGTTTACAATTACATTTACTGACAAAAAAGACAATTATACTGACAGTTCCGCCTACATAGAAGATTGGTAACTAATTATATATTGTGCATAATTTACTAGAGTTTTTTGAGCCAAAAGCAAAACACCCCAGATTCTGGGGTGTCACGTGACCAGCCCCAACCAGGGTCTTTCCGCAGCTTTTCGAGCTTTTCGGAGGACTGTTTGACACTGGATAAATTTTACAGATGGAGGATAAATACTCAGGTCAAATTTGGTATTTGTTAGAAAGACAGTACTTAGTGTTCCTGATATTGGCTTGAAGCTATCTGCGGATATATTTGTTGGCAATAGAATCGATATTTTCAGGAGCCCATGTTTTAGAGAGTTTTGCGACAGAGAAGGGCCATGCTAACTTGGACAAGACGTAGCGACTGTAGAAGAGAAGTTTATATTTGGGGTGCAGTGGCTTTGAGTCAATATCAGTCATTAGTTCATTAAGTAGAGTGGTTAGTTAAGTTTTATGTTTATCATTCGACATGCGGAAATCACTTGCAAGTGATGAACCAGGCGGGATCGTAATCGTAGTATAAAGATTAATGCCGGGCATAACGTACGCAAAAGAGCCATATAGATAATAATATAATATAAAAAATGTATTTAAGAAGCACTAACGTTTCGTCTTTAACCTAAGACATCTTCAGAGTAAATGAACATAGTAATTTATTCATATTTGTAACTCATTGTCATACTATATTCATTTACTCTGAAGATGTCTTAGGTTAAAGACGAAACGTTAGTTCTTCTTAAATAAATTTTTTATATTATATTATTGTCTATATGGCTGTTTTGCGTAATAGTGGAAATCAAAGTAACGTCCTAAATATTGAAATGATTCTCCTGGACCAATGGTAATTTTTGGTATTAGTTGATTGCTGATGAGGAGTTTTGGCAAGTACTGAACTGATTTTGTGATCGATTTTTTAATGCCAAAGGTCATTTGTCAACTCGGATAATCATATCAGACCATTGGCACCAGTGAGATAGAAAATAGATTTAATAGATGTTAGTTTTCGGATTCTTGGCCAGTAATTACTGCCGCAACATCAGCAAACTGGGACCTGTTGATGGGATTAAGTAATTTGAAGGAAAATCCAGGATGACGGTACTTTTCAGCATTGGTATGCTGAATGAATACTTATTGAAGCACATGTTAATAAGAAGAGGAATGAGGCAATCTCCTTGCAATACGCCATGGCCAACTATAATAAAAGGAGTGGGAATTCAGAGATAATTATCGAGGTTTGGAAATCAGTATATAAACTTTTTATAACAAGTTTAATGCGGACACGACTACAATAGATACTGCGTTATTAGTATACTTTATATAAAGAATACTAATTAGGAGTGTTTTATCATGACAGGTTAAAAGCCACTGCACGTGACATATTATGGTTGACATGATTTGCCAATAAACTTATGACAGAATTATTAATGAGTGTTTGAAAGGTTTTAGTGATCTTGAAATTTCGAAGAGCACACAGAGTATAGTTTTGAGTGCAAAATGATTAGTGGTTGTCTAGATAAAAATATTGCGTGACCCCTGTTGTGACGTACATACATATCTACAAAAATTCTTCATGAAGATGGCGGACATTTTATACCTTTCGATCAAAACATTTGTAGCAGTAAGCAAGATTTGAAAAAAAACGGTAAAGAGTATTATATATAGTCTTTAAAAGTTCTCCCAAATGAAAAAATAAAAAAATATATTGCCATTTCCCTTTAACAATAACAAAATAAATCACCAAATTTGTGCACTAATTATTGAATGTAATATTGGTACCTCTGACGTTGTCCTCTGAATCGTTTGCAAAACAGCTGGCATTGTATTCCTACAGTGAAAAAGCTCGTTAAACTATTTTCAACATCGCTTGTAGTGATTTTAGGTGAAATAGCTACAGTTCTATCAGCTATTATACTGTATTAGTTTATTAATGATTTACCCTGGTTTCCCTAAAGCTAAGTAAATTATCAGTCGTTATACTACGCCACTAATTAGATAGTTGAATGATCAGAAAAAAAACCCCTGGCAAAACCGCTTGAATTCTCTGACCATACATGGGCACACATTTGCTCTTTTGCGTTGTTTCTAGGGACAGAAGAGAGGAAATACTCATTCCGGCTTTCGTTGAAAAATTTACTATACGGCCACACTCATCTTACCTTTTCTGGGTCAAGAAGATAGACATAATCGAATGAAGAGGTTTTCATCAATGCATTCTCAGAACTATTGTGGACCACGTTGTGTAATATTTCACAATTTGGTTCATTCTGGAAGGTTGATGTCTTTTTGTAGTTAATTGATCTACAGCATGCCTCTTTGTAGCATTCCATTACGCAAGCTAACTTGTCGGAAACAACTTTAATCATGAAAACTTTTGTATCAAGCTTGAAACCTGAAATAATGACAGTATCAATTGGCATCTGGAAGTAATTCTAAAACTTGAATATTTATGGAAGAAAACATGGCTTTTTTAAGCGCGATCTCAAAAAGTATATATA